TAAAGAATCATGTCCTTATCTTCACTGATGTCTGTCTAACAAGATCCACAGGATAAACTTAGCTTGGATGATAAAGTTGAAGCTTCAGATTGTCACATATCACTCCTGTCGCGTGCCTAATGTAAGGATTTCTCCTTCAGAACCAGCAGCACTCAGAGATAATTATGTTGAGTCGTTTGGCTCGTATTGGTCTAAGGGATTCCCCGTGGCCAATATACGATCAACTTATCTCTGGAGTAGGGCAACTCAAGTATTGGCACTACAAAATATGTCAGTATATATATATATATATATATATATATATATATATAATATTTCTAGGCACACTTGGCTGGACACCCCCACTACTTACTAAAGAAAGCCCCCAGGTTATGATAGTTTATTATCATAACCATGTTAACACATATAATGAAGATACACATACATACACAACTGCTAAACACTTAAAAAGGTGAAATCGAGACACCTAAGTCAGCCATGAAAATGAATGTATGTTATCAATATAAATTAGATATATAAAAGTGAGACAAATGCCAGATCTCAGGATATCATGTCCAAATCACAAGGAAACTACACAGACAGAGGGTCTTGGAGATGACATCTTTTCATCACTGGACACAAGGAGCTGTGAGGAACACAACATCATGCGAAGCATTAGACTTATCTTCTCTTCTCTCTGTCTATGATGCCTCCCTCAGCTCCGGATGATTTGACTGTCTTTGACTCTGGGAATTCCGCTCCACTGGATCAAGTAGTAAGAGTACTTCACTATACAGCAACTGTACCGGTATTTAGCAAGTCTCTATCACCAGTAAGGACACACAATGTCTTTGAGCCACATTAAGCTCTAGTACTGGTAGCTGTTTGAGGCACCATCTCCCATGGGTTGGAGATGTCAGGAACCTTCACAGGTGTTAGCTGGTGGGTAACAAGTTGGTTCTGGTGGTTGGATGGTTGGTGGATGTTGGTGAGACTGTGAATCTTCTGCCAGCTCTTCAGAAAATATACATCCCAAGCATATGTAAAAACTGAGACATTTCCAGATTGCCTTGAAAAGTGAAAGTTATACAGGCACAGATTAACACATCTGGACGCTTGAGAAGCTGGCAAGGAGAATAGCGTCGCTATGACACTTCAGGCGTTGGTACAAAAGAAGTTCCTTGTATACTGGGGCAAGGAGTAAATCGGTTTCCAAGAAACCTCAAATAACTCCCTAAATATATCTCCAAGAGATATACATTTAAAAGTGGAATTTAGTTAAAGTAACCAGAAAAGGCAGACATAATAATGTTGTCCAATAAAGGCCTATATATATAGATATAAGGGACTATATATTTCTGGGCGAGTCCAAGTTTGAATTATGTGCAGAGTACAGGTAAGGCAGGTTATCAGCCTTACAGACCGATGCGTAATGGCTATCATTTCACGACACAGATACAAAATGACTATATTCTGCTTTAACAGTTCCAATATCTTTTAATATACAGACAGCGAGCTGATAAGTTAAACAGCATTTTCCTACTCTCATCTTGTCGAATTTTATTGTCAAGATAGCATTTAAGGTATTTCTTAGGTTCGATTTGATATAATTCATAGCATTACAAACTATTTCTACGTCAGCATTTGAATGGGGTAGTATCATGACAGACATGGCACATTAAAAAAAATTACTGAATGGACTGTTTGGGGGGCATTTTCAAATTGTATCACTTCACTCCAAAATGCTTAAGTTTCTGTTTTGTTTGTCCAGTCAACCAAGTTTATTTTAGTTAATTGATATTTCGCTTCAGCCACACTATTATTAGTAGCCCATAACAGTTTCATACCTTTACAATATTTCGGTATGTTTTTTAATTGGCTGAAGTATGCTGCTCTCAAAAAAGAGTAAAATATTTTTCAATACATCACGATTTTCAGTTAGTCTCTGCTTCAATTGCTAGAACAATGAGATAAGAAACTCTTGACAGCCCTTTCTTAAGTTGTTCTCTTCATTTTCTGTTAACAGGCCTTTTGTTTTTAAATCATCAATTTTTGATTCTACTTGATAGCTGTCTATAGTTCAAGTGAGCAAATCAGCTTAAGAAGTTGGCAATATTAGTCTTTTACCAACTGAGAGAAGTTGCAAAGTGAGATCGTCAAGCAATTTAACTTTATCAGCATGTTTAAATTCAAACAGTTAAATAACCTTTTGCACTGCCATTAAAATAGGTTGTAAAAAGAGAAGAAATGTCAATTTCTTTTTTTCATCACTGTACATTCAATATAGTATTTCAATTTTCTTTCACTTTTCCCTTTGTCTTGCTATTTCAAAGTGTGTGTTTAACTCCAGCCAGTGGTTCAAAATTTTTTCAACAGCTGGTTGAATTGATAACCATCTAGTTTTGCAATCTGACAAAATTTTCAGTAGTGTGGAACCATCATTTAATGCATGAGATAAGTTATTGTAGTTCTATTGTCTCGCAGATGTTTTGGAAAAGAAGTTATGGGTTTTAGAAAATAAAAAAGGTGTTCAAAATTCCTTGGTAAACATTCAGATATAGCATGTGATAATGGTTGCTGCAGGGAATTACATACACATTTTAAAAGGATTAAAGATAGGATATCTTCCTTAAATTCAGCATAAAGGCTATTGTTGATATCAACCATCACCGAGAAATTATCGGTATCAGTTGCAGCCAAATTATTCAAGTCTGATTGCTTGCTAATCAAAAGTTTCTTCAGTTCCTGAACATTATTTTCTGCATCACAGTTTTTCAATTGAACTAGTCCAAGATATGTAGAAAATACTCTTCTTTACCGATACTGTAATATATAATACACACACCATGCACTTTCAGTAAAGAAATGTCAATCGATTCATCTAATAATAAACTATATTTATTTGTAGAAACATAACTGATCACATCTTTTTCGAAGTGAGGAAAACAAAGAGTTCTTATAATATGTGTACACTTGCTGCGATGCATTTTTACTTTATCAATAACTTTACTGTCTGAAAAAGCGTTTCTAAGCAAATCAATTAAATGGTCACAGTTCGAAATGACACAAAGAAATCTTAAAAATGTTGCGACCTATCCTTCAACTTTTGATGGTTCATTAATTGGTGCAGTACTGAAAACAGATGTCAGCGGTGAAACATCTTTGAATGGAACTGCAGTTTATGCGATTTAGTCTCTGCATGACTCTTAAAGTCATTCTCGCTTTAATTTCACACCTGCAGTACTTACAACGAGCCTTACTTGTATCTCCAGGATCAGCCATCATCCAGTCTTTAATTATGTGATCATGCAGCCAAGACCGGCTCGACCTGACGGGGCATGCTGCTGACTCACCTAACCGGGCTAGGATATATTTCGTATCGTAACCCGGTTAGGTTTAGTCAACAGCTACCGTCAGCTGGAGTCGGTCTTGATGCACCAACTCTTTCCGAAATTTTGCAAGTTGAAAAGTTTTTTTCATAGTGGAAGACACATATGAAGGTGAGCAATTATTGAAAAAAAAAAAAAAAAATCCACAGAAAAAAAAATAACTACAAAGTCTGCATCACAGCTGTAATTCACAACACAGTGAGAATACAGTTAAAACAAAGTTAGTACCAGGGCTGCCAGATTGTTGAACGTTATCCCCAGTGAGTTCAAAGTTTAAGTAATCGCAGTTACCACATTGTACGTGCCCAGATTAAAACAAAAAAAAAGTTTAATAAATATTTTATACAGTAATTATAAAACTGACACTGACAGAAAAAAAAAAATCTTTACAATATCTAACTCCAAATGAAAAACTTCTAGAATGACATCTACCATATGAACGTTAAAAACACCATCTAATGCAAGGGTAAACATCTAGATCCGGATGTGAAACATTTGGGACATTTGGGGCAGAAAAGTGCACTAGGTAGAAACAGTGGGTTGGACCGAATTTCTTTTAAAGGGTTGAAATTACCAGTACCTCTGCATTTGATTTAGTTTTGTTACAATAAAGCTCAACCTTCTCAATTGTATGTTCACATTTCCAGAAACTCAATTCGAATTTCTATTTGCTTCGTTAGTATCCACTTTTCCGCACCATATATTAGTGCTTAGTATAAAAAAAAAAAAAAACATTCAACAGTTCTCATTTTTGTTATTTTTCTCTCTATGTGTCAATCAATAAATTCGCATCGTTTTGAAGAAATGTTAGCCATTTCGCATGTCAGAATGTCCGCAGTAAAGTCACGCCATTTCTCGGTTCAATCATGCATTTATTTAGTCCATACAACAATCTTTTTTTTGCTTTCTATTTCACTTCTGCCAAAATCTGTTATTAGATATGTCAAAGATATGAAAATATTATAACTTATTCTACGTTGATTATTGGCCATTCATTTTAATTCCTCATTATACCGCTGATCATCTTGGAAGAGACTAGGACCTCGCTTATTTTGCAATTACTAGTCGTGAACTCCGGCGGAAAATCCTAGGTGGTCGGCTGTGTCTGCACTTTGAGCTATTTTCAGGACTTGATTGCTGCTTGCAAATCCGTTTCTACTTATTCTAAATCTGGCTTCAGGATGTAAGTTCCTTGCCTCTCAGGCAGCTGCGCTTCGACTTCGAAACAAACGTGTGTCCTATCTACGCTGGCCAGGTCAGGAAAAGCGTTTCCACGACGATCACGTAGAAGTGTAGGTTTAACTTGATCAGTGGCAGTCATAGTTCTGATGCTGGTGACGATCCATATCCGCACCACAATGACACTAAAGATATAAAACCTAACGAAATGTAGACCATCGAGCTTCAAAATGTAACAAAACAAAAACGGAAAGTAAATGTTGCGGCTATCAGCACATTACATAAATCAACAAAAAAAGCATGTACAGACACGAAAACACAGAATTACTTAACTGACGTATGTCCGATGTCAGCAGTTTAGTGTACAGCTTCCGAATGAGGCTTCCATGGACACTAACAACAGCATCATCAACAGTAAAATGATTAACTATATAAAACAAGCACCTGTCCTACCTGAAGTTACGAAGCCTGGTATGTAGGCCGGACATAGCTGTCTTGCGACATTTCCAGCTCTGGTCTTGTTCCAACAAAGGATATTGTCCCACACAACCCCACACCAATCACTCTCGTCCTCTAAAAGAAAGAAACCACAACGTTAATTGATTATATGATTTAGACATTTGATTAGCTGATAAACCAGCCATGAGGGACTGAAAATAATTATAATAGCAGAAGTCTTTGTAACAGGGAGAAAACCTATGGCCGACCAAGACGAAGATGGACGCAGGATATAAATTACTCCTTGGATATGAAAGTGCGCAAGGCGGGAGAGCTGACGAGAGACTGAGTTTCCTTTAGGCAGACTGTGATGAGAGCGACGTTCTGCAAAAAGATCTTGAACATGACGATAATGAAACAGAATATGTGGACTGCTTTCGCAACATACATTTGTTTTTCAAAGCTGATGTAAGGTGATGATACTGTTTCTGTGTACAGGAAGAAAGAATAAGTAAAAAGTGTAAATTACATTTTGCTCTGGAGCCGGCTAAGTATAGGTTGCTTGCTTCACGTTGAAGTCGACCAGGAGTCGGCGACATTTTAGTAAAGTTCGACTGCAGCAATGTCATAAAGTTATTAAAGTGGCAAATCTAAGCCTAGCGTAAGTTTACCTACAACTATTAAAGCAAAAATATTGGATCTTTAAATGGATTGTATACTTCTGTTGATTAAAAAAATAGATTCTCTGCTGGAGTACGCTAATTTAAAAGTGCCAATAAGCATAGACAGCAGGTTCGATTATCGGAGTGGTAACTACAGCTTTGTTGTAAATTACATCGCGTCTTCTTGTAGGATGTAATTTTTTTGTTACTCGAATCCCCACCCTGGCTTTTTCCTGGAAGCCCCGAATATAGCTAGGCCACAAGTGTGACCATAACGGCTGAAAAGGGTTTCTGTGACCTCTCCACGGGTGATCCTCATCCGCATGGTGGCACTGTGTGACGCCAGGTGTTTATCGCTTGTGGGATGTCCTGGTAGGGTACAATAAACAAGCAAGCTGTGTTGTCTTCTGTGTCCTCTTGTCTATATTTCTTTACTCTGTTCACATGAGTGACAACCGCAGTTTTCTACTCATTTATTTCATTTTAACTAACAAACTTGGCGAGCGAGCAGTAAAATGTTGACGACTTGTATTCACCATATGGCACAATACTGGGTCCCTTAACTTTCTGGTGACATTTTGTAGTTCCCATTTTAGGGTACGTTGTCACGGAAATCACAGGTAAATATTTTAAAATATTTGTTTTCAGAGGTTTTAAAATATGCCAGCACTTTGTTGGCAGACTCTGTACCACTTCGGCCACCATCATGTGGAGTCATGTGTTATAAAACAACGAAATACCATTCTGTTATTGTTTCACTAGTCTCTAGGAACGTTGAACTCAGATACATATTAACATAATACGCTACGCTTTGTGGTGTATAAGTAATCAACAGACACAAGGAGGAATATTACACAATATGAATTAGGTTGTGTGTGTGTGTGTGTGTGTGTGTGTGTGTACATGATTTATGATTGGCACCTTTCTGTCTTTCCAGATGATACTTGTATAGTGCAATATGAGGAGGCATGGGACTCACAGCCCATGGCGATGGCAAGTGTGACAACAAGATTCGCCTGCGATAGGAAAAGTCTTCCATAATTATAGCATTAGATTTCGGAACCGTTTTTGTCAATATTTATGTTAGTCTGTTTCTTCTCAGAAGCTCAGGTCTATGGCACTTTGTTCCGACGATTCCACCTCAATACTTGTATTATTCATGTCCTGTTTGCACACATCTTTATATCGTAGCAGAAGTAAGCCTTGACATCTTCAATCTATCTTTAATTCATCAGAAAGGATGTCCTTAGGGACTCTGCCATCCTCAATTCTCCAGGTGTGACCCAGCCACCTGAGCCTTCGTAGACTGAGCATTGTGGTGACTGTTGCAATGCCTGCTCTTTTCTATACCTCAGTGATCTTGTCCTGCCACTTAGTGCCAAGCATTCGTCTTAGGCATAGCATGTGAAAACTATTGAGCCGTTTCTCCTGGTGAAAATAAGTTGACCATGTTTCGCTGCCATAAAACAGAATGATGAGAACACCAGCCTGTTAGACAAGAGTTTTTATTTCAGTCGTGAGCTTTCTGTTCTCCCAAACTCTTTTCGTTAATCTGCTTATTGTTGTTGCTGCCTTACCTTTCCTGGTGATGATTTCTTGGTCCAGCGATAGTTTCTATTCACTATGGAACCAACATAGGTAAAATGGTCAACTGTCTCCAGCTCGTCACCTTCAATGTAGACTGCAGGTCTATCATCAACACCTTGCACTAAAACCTTTGTCTAGTTTTTGCAGATTGTTAGTCAGCGAATGCAGACTGCACACAAAGCAGCTCGTCCTCTGAGTGGGTATCACTGTTGCATCATCTGCTAACAGCAGCTCTCTGATGACTACCTTTCTTATCCTGGTTTTAACCTTCAGCCTACGAGCATTGTAAAGGCTGACGTCCGATAGGGAATGAATGAATATACCTGATCTCGAAGGCCGTATTTCAAAAGAAGTGAGAAGTATATTCCAAAGCAGTTAGGAACAAGTAAACATCCCTGCTTCACTCCACTGTTGATTACAACTCCGATGTTACAACATCAAAGTTGAATGAATCCTTCATACCCGTATGGAAAGATTCAATAATTTCCAGTAGGCTAGGTTAACACATCTTCTTCAGTACGTTGAACAGATTTTTTCGACTAACCAAATCAAATGCCTGGATAAAATCAATTAAAGCAATATACATCGGCTCGTTTTGTCTTGGCATTTTCCTGCAGCGGTCGTTGGAAAATAGCACATCATTTGTAGACTGGTTGGCATGAAAGCCAAACTGTAACGCTGGTCAACCTGGTCTAATAAAAACTAATTTCCGCAGAATAATTATCCCAGAGTACGTTTCCAACAGTACACTGCAGCGATATTTCCCTGTAGTTATTGCAGTCACACTGATCACCGTTGTTCTTGAACTTAGTTATGATGCTTGAGTCTTTTTAGTCATGATGTACCTGTCCCTCACGCCAGCAGAGTGTTATTAGCTGATGAATGTGTGGGGTTAAAATGTCTTTCCCACTCCTGACGATCTCAAAAGAAATTCCACCTCTGCCTGGGGCCATCCCTAAAGCCTACTCATTAATAGCATTTCTAACCTCTACAATTGTTGGAAATGCATCCAGATAGTCAAGAGTTGGTAGCGTCTTCATGACAACAAGAGCACCATCTGTTAGTTTAGTTATCAGTTGAATACAACTCCAGATAATGTTCCACCCATCTATCTAGTTCTTGTCATTAATCATCTCTCGTTCAAATTCTTTAGTGGTGCACTTTTTAAATAGTTAGGTCAATGACCTTCTTTATCCTTTCATACACACCTCTAATATTACCACTACACCATACCAGAGCTGTTTGTGTCACACTATAAGCAGGCTAGCAGCTAGCCCGCAAGTCCCATGGCTCCCCAGATCACCGCTATAAGGAAAAAAGGGCCAATCACAATTCGAGACATTGTTTATATATACACCAATAAATTTGAGAGATAGTTTTTAGCTTCGTTATATTACACCTACAGGTCGGTGTCCCATATTTCCAGCCTGGCCACCCGACTACCCGGATATTACATCGCTAATCCAGACTGAACTGGGATACCGCCCGGCATAAGTTTTTTAGAGATTGATATTTGGGTTCAGGGTTGCCAAATAAAAAAAAAAATAACTTAATTTTATGCCAAAACCATTAGGCAAAATAATGCTGACCACATTACTCACCGAGTGCCGATTGGTCTGTAAAAATATGGGTGCTCTTCCCATATGCCCGATTCGCCTAAGGGCGTGTAAATGGATCATTACTTTTTCTTTACTATTAGGCAAAATATGCCAGAAAATGCCAAATAAAGTATAACATTGTACCCACTTCACATTACAAGCTCTAGATTAAATTCTTCACTGTCATCCTCACTGGAACGAGTGGAAGATACGGTGTAAACCTTTTGAGATGTAAAATCTGTAAGCGTTTTCTCAGATGGGATGCATTCGTTGCAACTCATTTATAATGATGGCATATTTTGTGTTCTGAAAATCATTAATAAGGTCATCCTTAAGTGCAGGCGATATAATATTTTTTATTAGGCATGAACATTTAGTTATATGCAACTGTATGTGATCCAATGTACTCCACCGACTATGCGATCTCACGATTTCACTTAGATTGTGCCTATTGCACAATGGCAGGTCATGCCTACAGCGAGTTGCAACTCTGCTGCCTTTAACTTTATCATTACTTTGCCTAGGAGTTATTGTTGTAATAAGCTATAACTGGCTTTTTGACGGAGTTTTCATCCTGTGTTTTTCGAATTTTTCATGATTTGATATGCTTCTAATTCTTGGTGCAACAATGCGCTGACACAGTTTGCAATAAGCTGCCTCTCATCCGCCTAAAGATCTTTTGAGCCGTGGGTATGTTTTCTTCCCGTTACTATTATACTTGCAATGTCATAAGATGCTTTCCATTTTTTGGATGACGTGGCCATTGGCAAAGTAATAAAATCTATCACAGATAGAACTAGGTCTATATCCTCTCTATTTTCTGTCCTCAAGTAGTTTCTGAACAGTTTGAATCACTTGGGTTAAGTGGTGGGCTTTGGTTTTATATCCCGCATTTATTCTAGTAGATCAACATAAATTACAGAGGGCCTCTTGGTTTATCAAAGTCACGATCCGTTTAGGAAGACAACAGATACAATAATAAATGGCGCGAATTTCCTTTAGTCCGTACCAGGACATCACAACAAAGTCAAACTAAAATAAAGATGTGAAGTGTGGGTCTACATTGCTTTTATTAAATTTGCGTGTTTCTAACAGAGGAACTTTGAAGAAAATGTGAGCATATCTTGATAAGAAAAGCCAGGAAAAACCCAAACGTGCCAGAAATTTATCTTACGTCAGTTCAATTTCAAATATGCCAGATTTGAGGATTCCGGTTTAAAAAATGCCAATATGGCAACTCTGTTTGGATTTCACCCCGTGATAGATCCCGGTTCTCTT